ATGTTTAGTCAAACATTAAAGAAAAAAATAAGTGAAATTATCAAAAAATCAATTAGATTCATGTAAAGTTAGGGGACTAAATAAAAGTATCCTAATGGATCCTTATGGAAAACAGAATGATAAAACATAAGAAAGTTGGAAATAAGTAGCTACGTTTTGAATCACTGAATTTATCTGTTTATTTCCGCAACGTGAAATTGTTTACTAAAAGCTATGACAACATATACTAGGAAACTGAGACATCTATTGAATCACATAATTAAATTGTTAATATATAAGTCTACCAGTAATGTCACTAATGATGTCAGTAATTTAAACTTCCGAAAGAGTTGAAATAATGAATGACGTAATAAATAAATAAAAAGGGGAATTTAGCGTTACCAGGGCAAAGAAAGATTTATTACTGTCTGGTTTGATGTTTGATTACTATTCCTTCGGCAAATTTCAAAAGGTTAGAGTTTGTTTGTTAATCACCTTGATCGACTTCAATGTATCGACTTCATATCCCGTGTCAAAGAGATATCTTGCAACGGCACTGTTGAATGCTTAAGATCAAATGGATGTCAAGTATGTCAACATCTGTAATAACGTTGATTTTCAAACATTTTAGGTTGTAAGCAGCTGATGACAACCTAACGAAATAATATGGATTCATGTTATTCTGCACTAATCTTTGTTCTTGCTATCTTTAACAAATATTTCTGTATAGTAATCAGTAACGAACTTATTTTTGCAAAAAGTTTTAGTTTATTTCTTCGATAAATTATTTTTCATGATAATTCGATTAGAATTTGAAATTTTGTTTACTTGTGAAAATGATTCAACCGTAAAGTAATAAGACACATTTTTCCACAAATATGTAAGCTTCAAACAAACCCAAATATATACTGAAAGTTTATTTCTGCCTTATTTAGTTGCCTACGATTAGTAAACTTTAAACCTGAATTGTTTAAAAGAAAGAAATCAGTAGTTTTCTTTAAAAAAAATAACACGTTACTGTCGTTATTACAGGAAAAATAATCCATCCAATGGACTGATGTACTTTGGTAGATTCGAGTTCTCATAGTAACTTGGTAACAATTATGTTATAACTTGCGGTTTGTGTCCTTGGTTCTTTGTTTTCACCCCGTCGCCAATTGTTATAACTTGTGGCCTGTGTGCCCTGTTAATGTATAACGTAATGATACCGCCAATTAGAGAGCGGTGAATTATCGATCGGCCCAATGACGCATAAAACAAATAAGAGCAGTCTAGGGTCTTTAATGATTCTGCTTCCTGCCTAGCCCAGCCAGTTAAGTCCAGAACATCAATCTCAGCCTCTGCAATATGAATCATTTATTTTAAGCATACTGGGTTTATATACCAACCAGACAGACCACATCGTACCATAAAATAGGAAACAACATTTGTACAAGACTTAGCCATATGTGGCTATGAATGAAGGAGATAGTTATTGATAGACAGGGCATAATTCAAGAATGGTAGATCGTATAATAATAGTTCTTAGGCCAAAATAAAACTCATATTAAGAGGGACATGAATTTGAATAGTTTAGCTATTTAACAATTATATGATAAAAATATACGCATAAATGGATCCCAAAGTTACAATTCATTATGCTTATAGGGACATAACAAATGAAAAATGTAATTATTATTAATACTAATTACTTTATTCATTATTATATTTTTGATACAATATAGAAATTTCAACAAGTTTCCTTTTTCATATTTCTCGATCGACCCTTGCGATAATTATTAAGTGTTCGCGATAAGTGTTGGCCAACTAGATATTAGCAGTTCAGGAATGGACATCTGAATAATGTTCATTCTTTTCAATGCATAATGTCAGTTACCACAATGTCTCTGATTGTACCTTTGTATAAGTTGTACAGCGAAAAGTCGTGAAGAATTGATAAATTCTCCTGAATACGTCATGCGATTACCAGACATAATGATGTGTTATAACAAATATGAAAACAGATAACTTGTTAAAATAACTAGATGGTAGGAATAAGTAGTCCAAATATCCAATAAGGCCGCCTTATAAATAATTAAATTAACTTCAAGTTTCAATTTTTCCGCTTTTAAATAGAATGCATTACTGAGATCAATTGTAATTTGATTTTTGCGTTAAACCGTCTACAGACTACTATTCAAATAATAAACAATAAGCATGTTGTATTGTTGGTTGATATGTTAAGCCCGTACAACATATTCTAGACTCTGGACAGGTCTATTTATCCATTCGTCTTTACTCACATTATAACCTTGTTAATTACTCATTTATCAGCCATGACTGTTTTTATCTGAGCGTATGTGTGTGCACTTCTTATCCTATTTATTTTTGTGTGACTATAAATATCGATTAACGCTTGACTAAATGCAGTTGGCTCACATGAATTCTCCACTGAATGTCGTTTCGCTCTCTCTTCTGCATTTCCTTAGCTGAGTCTCTCTGATTATCTGTTCTGATCAACGATTGTACAAAATATATGTATTAAGAAATCCATTCTCATATTTGACTTATTTAATTCCGTTATTCACTAACGCGATCTAAATCGATACTTTTATATAAAGATAGCTAGGATGTATGTTTTGACAACAATCAATCATACGATATGCATGGAGTCACATGCCCGGCCACTAAGATGTGCTTCAGCAATATTCATTATGTAAGGCAAATATTTCAGAAGATACAATATATATATATATATATATATATATATATATATCCAAAAAATGAGCATTTATCCACGCTTTGAATAAAACGAAACACTTTACCAACATTTCATGTCATCACAGGAAAATCTTATTTTATAAGCTATGAATATCATCAGTAAGCTAAAACTGATTGTCACGTGTGCTTAAAGCAGTAGAAATACATCTTAAGATCCTTACACATAAAATAACTGGAATTCTGTTAGTCATTATTTCTATTATGCTCAATATTTTTCTTCAATTCTGAACTGTCGATCTGGTTTCCTAATTTATAAAAAAACACGTAGAATTATACTTTTAACTGGTTTATTTCAGCATTCATATTTCAACACTGAAATAGATCTTGATGGAAATCTGGAGATATTTACATTAGCCTGAATAATGATTTAAATTTTGTATGCTTCAGTGAACTATTTATGAATTAATCGTCATGTAATTTTGGTATAATTATTTTCCTACATGAGCATTCTTCAATTTATAAATATTAATTATACAGTGCATTCTGAATCATTACAATAGAGACAGGTATCTACCTCAGTACAATGGAAGATAGTCGCACATTTACGTGGATTAGTTGAGGTTAAACATTAACACCGTTGGATTCTAGATCAGTAGTCTAGATGTTAAGCGTTCACGTGCGAGACTGATAGGCCCTAGATTCGAATCCCGCTCGCAGATTCGTGGATACACCCTGCTGAGATGTCCCACAATAGGATGAAACAACCGCTCAGTGCTTCCAGGTTTTTAATGGTGGTCTAACATCAATCGGTTCATGATCTCAATCAAAAACAATATTATTTATTTGAACATTGAAATTATACATTTCAAGTAATATGATTATTCACAATAAACAACTCATACCTTGTCCTTCAAGACTTGGATTCCCATTTAAAACTTACTGGTTCTGACAGTTTAATCTTGACATTTTGGTCGTTTTAGTAATGTACGCTTTTATTAATCATCAGAACATAAGAAATGAATAAATGATCATCAAATATAACTGCAAACAATGTTGTTTATTCAAAATAGTAAAATCATTTTTATACATGGTTACATAAACAGTTATTTGTTGAGTATTGAACATATTACCATAATTGTGTTTAAGTAACTGAATAAAATGATCTATTGTATACTATTGATTCTCTTTTTTTTGCAAACAAGTAAAAGAAACATGATCTCGACAAATAAAAATCTAAATATTAATAAATGATTCATAATAGTTAAAGTTATCTTTTGAACAGTTTATCATTTTTGACTTTCATTGAAAGTAATCTTCATCATTTAATCCTGTTAACTAGGAGAGTTCTTCACCTTGTTGATAAGTGAGTAAGAGACTTAATAATAGTTTTTTAAAAAAAATAACATTAACATTTTACAGATAATTCCCATTTCAAACATTAAAATTAAAACACGAAGTTCAGTGAAGGCATCTCTTTTCAACGAATTTTTTTTATCAAGCTGTACAATCGTATATACACGAAAAAGTACTAATTCCGTGAGGAAATATGAATACAATTAACCAAGATGATGTAATAGAAATATTCTAATACTAGATTACGTAATATGAATGATAACAATAGATTTAGTGGATATAATAAGATGATTAAAATTATTAAAATGCTTTTGTTATAATAACTAAAGGTCATAAAGGTGTAGTAATAAACGAATAAAATAATGAGAATATAAGACATAAGTAAAGGGGGAAATGCAGTGATAATAATAATAATAATAATAATACGATAATCAAAATAATTAAGGCCAAGGTAACGATAACGATAAAACGTACTTCTCTTGTACGCATAATTCTGGTTTAAACTCCTGGATGGTAAGAGCTTCGGCTATTAAGAGTTGGCTACGAAGAAATCTGGGTAAATTTGAACGAATCATATAAACAAACTTAAAATCAAATTGTAGATCTGTAGAATGGTTACAGTCGATTAGGTGTTCAAGTATAGAACTCCTAACTGCTTTCCTTTCATCCTTATAAAAACAAGCTGAGATATATTCCCGTATCCAAGTTGAAGGCGAGCGCTGGCTACGTGTGTTCACATTTCCTCGTGGAATTTGTACTTTTTCTCAATATATATATATATATATATATATTATATATATATTATTATATATATATATATATATATATATATAGGATTGTACAGCTTGATAATAAATTCGTTGAAAAGAGATACCTTCTCTGAACTTCGTGTTTTAATTAACATTTTAATTCAAATTACCCACTGTCAGTTTGCTGAACTTATAGTTTTTTGTTTTTACTTTCAAACATCAAAATTCATACTTTAAAACTGTAAATAGTAATGAAATATATATGATGATAATATTAATATACAATTTATTACAAAGATTGTTTATCTTTTTTGTAGTTGTTTTTAATAAAATTGAATTTGAATTCATATTTGCATAGTTACTACGTTTTGTATTTTTTATATCTTTTTGTTGATGATATAAAGAATTTTGTGAACTTTTATTGATTTCATTCAATTTGATTGGATTTAAATTAGTTTCTATGTAAATATTATGATAATCATTTATAATGTAATCAGTTTGATTTGATTTATTGATCATATTTGATATTAAATGTTTAGAAATATTAATTGTTTGTTCACATCCATATGGTAAAGTTTCTCTGAAATAATTTTGAATTAATTCAATTATATCACTAGAACAATGATATTCAAGTATTTTCTTGATACAATTAACTTTTGTGATAGTTCCACTAAACAAAAAATAAGTGATAAAAAGAAGTATTGTAGTGAACAAGAACACCGGTGGGGACAATCGAATGTACTTGACACAACATTACAGGACTTGTTAATAAAATCTAACAATCAAATCTACCAACTTGGTACATAAAGCGCCAGAGAAAATCTATTCGCAGTCCTATATTGGCACATCTTATTGATAGCGATCATGCAGTAGATAAATCGAAATCATTTCGAGTTATCTATCGTATACCTCCATCATTTCCCGACGGAGTCCGTTCCCGTCTCCTATATATAGCTGAAGCCATTGGAATTCGTACATATAACCCCAATTTATGTGTACAGAAGAAATACGTGGCCCCCCTATCCCTTCCATGGCCAGTTATAACTTAACTAACGATTTTTTTTAAATTTTATTATTATCATTATTTATTTTATTCTATTTGTGTTATCGTTAACCTTATTTCCACATCCATTATTTGTTTGTAATTTTCCGCCTCTTTGTATTCTTCACTATCTAATTATTTACACACATCTTATTACGTAATGATTTTAATGTTTTGTGGTTACTATTCCTAGTCTATTTACCCATGTTTGTTTGACCCTCTATTGCCAACGATTAACTATTGATAAGAGTTTTGTTATTGTATTTTATTATTCTCACTATTATCAGTTCACCTGTCTTCCTACTATCAACTTGTACTTTTACCTATTATGTGTAGTGACTTATTCTATTTCATTGTGATTATTGACCCATATTGCCTTGATTGGTTTAAAATTTTCATATAAATATTCATGTATATTAGAGTAAAGCCTGATGACGATCTAATTGAAAACAATTGTTCGCTTATGTGTTGTTCTAATTTTCACAATGTGAATCTTTAATAATTTGCAAAATGTCCACCCATTGTCTCAAAACGACCCAGATTTTATTGTTCTCGCATTTTCATACAAATTGCATTATGTTTCGAGTCTTTACTGTTCGATCCTCTTGTCTCTCTGCTTCCAGACCTTCTGTTCACGACTAACATCATATGCTACTTATGTCAATATAAGTAGCACACACCACAGTATTATTTTATAATAAAAATTGAAAGAAATCATTGTAAACCGACTTTAGCTACAGAATCTCTGAAAAGAAAGAACCATCAAATAATTAACTACATTTAACCTGAATCTCTAGCTATTGTTAGTTCGTTATTAAAACTAGTCTAAAAGGTACGACATTCTCCATAGGACTATTAGAATAATCATAAACGTTTATTTGTAAAATGAACGTAATGTTTAATACGTTTTGCTAAGGTCACTGTATTCAGTCTTTACAGAGGAAGCCAGGACTCTGATCCACCCAATTTAGAACTTGTCAGTGAACTTCTTCACATTTGATCCGACCTCAGTGAACGTTAAAACCTCATTGACTGTTTAGAGAGAAGGATATTGGGTACAATTCCTTATGTGTATATCAACCCTAAGAAACAGGCACATGTAGTAGATGAATCCCGAATAAGATAAAACTGAGATCTTGGAAGTCACTGCCAATCATAATTCAACTTTTTTTGTAAAATTATGATAAAACTGTAATACCCAGGTGAAACACACATGATGGACACATGGTAATTAAAACTGGTTAAAATCCTGTCAAGAACACAAACAATGAGAGAACTGAAATCATTCCTTTTGAAGCTACGTCTAATTATGCTACTTAGAAAGTTAATAAATGCTTCGTAATTAAATCATTTGGCTCAAAAAATGAAATCATACTAATATTAGATATTTGACCTACTGAACCTCACCATCAAATTAGAAGTTGTATAAAGTTTTTCAACTTACGTACAATATGTTGAACGTAACACTGATTTCATGTAATTGGCATATTCATCGGCATTGCGTGAGTTCACTGGATTACTATTAGCCAACTGCAAATATGTTTGAGACAGAAGGTTTGAATATTGTTTGGAACAGTTTTCAACTTGAGACTCATATACGGAAAGACATTTATCGCGGTGGTATCTGAAAACTGTATGCAATAAAAAAAGGCAATCATCACAAAAGTGTAAAGAATAATTAAAATTTAATGTAACATTGCATACTCTGCAAAGATCATCTTTAGCACTGAAAATAAGACTTGATCCGTGAATTGTTTACTATTTTAGAATAACCTCAGAATATAATGTTGAAGATTGGAGACTACAATCATTGAATTGTTATTCTAATCAAAACTAATCTATTTGATCTGTTTGCTGCCACCCATATGAGAAGTTAAACACTGAGTATACTTCATACTTTATCCCCAAATAAAATTACTCGACAATAGCATTTATCCAAAATTTGTGTCGAGATCTACGATTTTATGAACAATTACATTGTACATAAAAGCTTTAGGGAGGGAACATTTAAAAAATTCAAAATTATACTTTATCAGCGACTGAACAGCCACATATTTTTTTTCTAACTCGTTGAATGTAAACAAATTGTAGTCATGTATCCAATACGACCGTTTAGTGTAAGGTAACTTGTTCAAACTTAATTGTCACTCTGCCGTGAACGAACTGTTTAATTACAATTATTGACTATGTTTATGAAAAACATTGATAAATAGCTTTGAACAGTTAGTAAATTCAGGGTAATCGATCTCTTTTCTTTAGTTTTTCATCTGACTCTACTTCGTGACGACAACTATCTTCATCTTAAAATCAGTCTCTTTAGTTCACTCTACTAACTTAAATCACAATGGTTGGAGACCAATTCGATTCTTTTTATTCCCAAACTAATTAATTAGGATAATCTCGGCTTTTACAGACGAATGAGAGCAACCTTTCTACCACTAGCTTTTTAGGGCCCTTAAAATATGAATAAAAACTATACAGTTGTGAATTCGAAAACTCATCTACACTTAAGACACGAAATACTCAACACTCATCAGTGTTGTGTATACGTAGAAGTCGTTAAATTATCTAGTTCATTTGTTCATAAAGAAGAAATAAATTGATCGTTAACAGAATATTATTTAACTCACGTACTACGTAGATTATATTGTTGACATAAATAGTTTGCTGCTTTTTCATAAGGTGTTGTATCAAAAATAAATTGCCACATTACATTTCTAAAATGAGAAGTCGATTCGGGTGAGCAACGATTTAGAATGGTTAACTGAGCACATGAATACACTTTGATATGCCATTTTGTTCTGAATTAATAAAATAAACAATAAGATTAAATTAACAACAAGAAATATTCTGACTGACAATAATTATCAACCAGTTTAATAATTTACTAATTGTGAGAAGCTATGCAGTACAAATTTTCTAAAGACCAACGTCCATTACTAATACAACAGTGACATAATTTCAGAATCCAATCCTGAATATTATAGAGGTTGAACAATCATATAGCAGCTTACTGTATCAAAATATATAGGATAGTCAGATTATTTTTGTGAATGGTTATCCATGGGGTATTTCACATACATATGGAACAGGTGACTATTGCTTCTTAATATGTAATGGTAATAGTAATAGTGTCATAATAATAATTTATAAAATGTCCAAGAAAACAATAAAACTGTTATATATACATATTATATGTATCTTGACACAAATATGTCCAATCTAATTGAAATGTTTGCCAAACTTACTTTCCATCTTTTTATTGCATAACAACTAATCGCTCAATAAACAATCAATTCCAGTCAAGATAGCTTAAAACTAATTATAAATTAATTAGATGATACACTTCTAACAGAATCCAAATGTGATAAAAATACAAAATGACAAGAAAGTTGTTAGCATTATGCATTTCACGTCTTATATAAACATAATTTACAAATTTTCTAATCATGTTTTTTATATCCATTATCTGTCTTCACGTCTCATTCTGGAATCTGCATTTCAGGATGATCTAATACTTTCCAATAGTGTAGAGTTATTTGTACTAAAGCAGAAAGCAGATAATCACTATGGTATTTTATCGAATGATGTGTTTATGAATTTTTGTGACAGTATTGCTGTCAAACCGTCTATATAACATTGTGTTTTTAAAAAGTAACTTTGACATTTATAGAAAAGAAAATTAAAAAACCTTGGTTGTTCATTATCAGTAAAATAACAAAAATTAACTTGACCGTTTGTGTTTACATGAATTTGGTTTGTTACTTAACCGTCATTAGACACCGATAAATGGTTTAATTTAATTTCAATGTAATTGAAGTACTAGTCATTTAATTGAGTACGTATACATAACACAATTAACGTGTTTCTGTATTCAATCATAAAATTATTAAAATCTCCACAAAATCCCTTCTGATAATAATCATGTGCTCACTAGTGACTGACTTCATGAGGCATTTCCCGGAGTTCTAGTGAGAAGTCGTTAACGGTGGATTTTAACAAAGTCTGTTGTGTGATATCAGCTCACTGATGGCAAAAGTGGATGTGTCGCTTAATTTCGTCGATTGGTTGAAGTCAGACATTAACACCGTCGGATGCCAACCGGCTCAGTGGTCTAGTGGTTAAGTGCTCGCGCGCGAGACTGATAGGTCCTGGGTTAGAATGTCGCATGGGGGCGGGATCGTGGATGCGAAATGTTGAGGCGCCTCACACTAGGACGAAACAGCCGTCCATTGCTTCCAGGTTTTCCATGGTGGTCTAGCTTCAACTGACTCATGATCTCAATTATTGAAATTACTAAAATTTCCACAAAACCCTTTCTGATAATAATTATCAATATTATTTAGTATAAGTTACATATAAAAGTTAGTGAAAATTACATGCAAAATATTTACCGACACATTTGTTCCACATCACCGATTGAACCAAAACCAAATCCAAACCCTTCATATTTTTCTGGAATTCTTTTAACTCCAGCCAATTTTGCACAGTTATTCAAATCGTTTATATGGAGTACACAATCGTTACAACTACCATATTTGAATATAAATAGATAGAATACTAAACAGATACAGAATTTCCAATAGAAATGTGTCAACATATGTACAGTATGAAAAATATGCATTTATTTTAGTTGATCTATTAGTTTGTTGAAACTGTTACTATTCCTTTATTCCTAATGAAATTTATATATTTCATACCTGACGTATATTAATATTCTTCGTGAACCACTTTGTGTGTTTTGAGCATTCTGGTATTCTGAAATTGAGATTAAAAAACAAAATTACAGTAATTATGTAAAAAGAATCGGAAATGAATTGACTAAATCAAAATGGGGATTTGTGGAGGTTGTAATAAATTTAATAGTTAAATTCATGAGTCGATTTAAACTAGATCACCATTGAAAACCTGGAAGCACTGGACGACCGTTTTGTCCTAGCATAGGACTCTTCAACAGTGCGCATCCATGATCTAAGGACCTTTGGTCTCGTCCGCGAACGCTTAACCCCTAGACCACGGAATGGCGTTAATTGATCCATGATTTTGCACAACCATTCATTTATTGTCTGAGGTGGATAACTGTTTCCATATGATATGGATTGAACTACTGAGAAGTCGTATACTAGAACGTAAAAGCCATCCAGTGCTTCCAGGTCTTCAATAGTGATCTAACTTAGATCGACTAATGAATTCAATCATTAAAACTAAGTGTTTATGATTTATGTAGAAAAAATCAACAAGTTGTTTTAGTTGTCACCTGTACAACGAAAATTGAAAATAATTTAATTGACATTGTAGTGATTTTGAATGCAACTTATTATAATTTTCCCTACTTAATTGTCATGATAATATTGTTTGTAGTTGTTTTATTAAGATCGTTATATTTAGTTCAGTTTATTGATAAAGAAATGAAATCAACATATATAGTGAACGATAGATGTAAAATTTCATATTAACTAGACTACTTATTCCACGACGTAAGCAGTTATGTTAGAAAATGTTATGAAGATAACATGAATGAATAGTAGTGTTTGAATACGAACAATTTGAAATCACTGGCCGCTATAAAACGATGATTATAATATCAAAGAGTAGTGTACTCTCTGTGACACCTGGTGTGTATGTGATGCTGAGAATCACCATTCTATGAAGGAACAACTGTTCAGTGATTTTTTCGGTTTACATCAGTTTACTAATAGCTGATGTCAATTCTTAATGAAAATTCACTTTCATTTAAACGGACTCTAAAATATTTTAACAACAAAATATTTATGTTATTCTGAGTATGAAAATTCATTGATCATAATAAATTAGCTCTTCGTTGTTCCACACCTTTTCACTTGATTAAGCAATAAAATAAGGATTGTTTTTCTAAATCCAACGTACATCGTAAGAAAAAATGTATAAAGAAGGTATTACTGATTGATTTCTTATGAAAAATTTGAATGTTTATTAACCTTTTCTACAAGTAATTTGTTGATACTCATCAATAACCACTAACACCTTCAGTTACTCGTTTTGCCCTATTTGAATATAACCCTGTTTTTATTTCTGATACTCTACAATCATATGTTTCTGTTGTTTCTTTTTAATTCACAGTCAAATCACTTTGGATTAATTTAATCATGATTATGTTCTAATAAGACTTCCATAAGTCAATACTATTTACAAATTCAGAACTGTCAACTTACTAAAGATAATTTACAGTTTTGAATAGTCGAGGAGATATTCTTTGACACATCGTATAATTCTTTTTAAATATTAACCAAAGAAAAGATGAACCACCAAGCAAATAAATATTTCTGTATATCATGACATGACATTAATATTCAAATTCCAAAGTTGATTGTTGACCTAATTATAATCAAGTTCAAAGATGAATTACTTGATCTTGTGTATTACTCCACATTGTTCCTTTATCGAATTAGTCTTCATTTCATATTTTATAAAATTTTGAATATTTTAGGTTATTTTAATTAAAGATTTACGGTGAACAGTACTGATCATCTTATTTTATGAAGTTGAAATGGCTTGAGAAATATATGCACACATAACTAGTCTTTTTATATATCTTATTCAATTAGTTCCTTTGATAAGTTTCGATAGTGTAATAAGAAGAGGAAGATTATCAAAGCTATATGATATATTAGCGTAGTCCATTTCGAACTACGGTTTATTGAAGCCTTAGCCATAGTAAAACTCAACCCCCTCCTCCTTTGTGTATTTGAAAACAATTTGTTCTTAGCTTAAAATTATCCTGGTGATATTAGCTTATAACCTAGAGTTCCAAATTTTTTCACATTATTTTCTTTATTATTCTTATCTCCTCTTGCCCTCCATTTCTAGTCTAGTCAAGGCAATACGCTTACTATGCACATATGCCAGCAGGAGACTGATCAGTTGCAGTCCAGAACATCAATGGCAAGATTCAAGTAAACAATACCAAGTGAATTTAAACTTCACCCCATTGCATAAGCAGGTGGCTATTAGAACTCAGTAGCTAAGTGGATAACGCGATGGGGTTTGAGGCGAACGGTACTGGGTTTGAGTACTGAAGCGAACATCAACTCTGAGATGTAGGTACATCCAGCTGACGAGTCCCAAATAGGACGAAACGCGCGTCGCGTATTCCACTGCTAGCCACTATCCATCTTTGCTTATAATGCTTGTGAATTAAGGTAATATCGAGGCAATACGCACAGCATACACATATGACAATAAGAAACTGATCAATTGTAGTTCTAAACATCAATGAGAAGATTCAATTTAGCCATACCATGTGAATTTATTTGACCGTTTATTTGTATATCATTGAATGCTTTAGTTTATAATGAACTAATATCTAAATCCTGACCCGACCGAAGCTGCTACCTTGACGCGGTGGTCGGGCTTGCCTATCGTGATGACCCAACCGAGCTATATTGTCTGGGACATATGTTCCTGTAGGTTCTACCATGCCAGGCAGGTCTATTGGAGAACGGTAAGACTAAAAGCAGCAACTCAAGGTCTGAGGGCGAAGTCGTACTGCTGACTGTAGAGGGGTGTGACAGCAGTAAGGTGTTTCCCTCGGACAACCAGCATGACAGCGATGCTACCTTCCCACAAGGAGGGGTGGGGTTAGAAAAGGTCGACCCTAAAAATGTCACACTTCACCTTACCTCACGGATTTCCGTCTCTGGCGGTAAGGCCCTTTGAAGAGCGGAGCTAACACATTAAAAACCTTCCACGAAAAGCCGTGCGTGACCGGCCTCAAGCAGTTGTCCCTTGGGCTCTGCGGTCACACTCCCAGGTCGTTAAGACCAACACTAATCCAACTTTCTTTTCAGGTTTCTCAAGAAATACCCTTTCACGGTGGGGGCAGCCGGTAAGTGATATCAGCCCTCATACCCGTAACAGCACACGTGAACAAGTTGGTCACATTCAAATCCTACCTACACCTCCTAATACCTTTCTTATCTCCATGACTAACCCTTCTCACGTCTCTTTATCATCTCGCACCGCTAGGGAAAACGATTCGAGTACGCGGAACGCTATTCCTGGTCTACTGAAACGACGCTCTAAACTACACGTAGGAGCTTTTAACGTCCGAACACTGTGCCAAATATGACAACAGGCTTCCTTAGCTAAGACTTTAGAATCCCACGCCATCTAAATCCTGATTTAAATGTCATTATGCCTATATCCGATACAAGCATATATATACAAAATATCTCATGATGTAATATTCCAATATACACTTATTCAAGTCCCCTATAATCAATAATTTGAAGAAAATAACATGATAATTACCCTTGTTCATAATTTAAAAAAAATCTTTATTAATATGGTTAACTTAGAGTTAGGACATTCATAAATCCTTTAGTAGTTGCAAGTACCTTTTAAAATAAACTTTAAATTGTTTATTTTTATTATGATCACTTGAATGATCCATTATGTACCCCATATACATAACATTTTTCAATAGATTTAAGGGTCAAGTATTTTTTTAAATGTTTAGTCTATGAATATTTAATTGTAAATATTGTTTTCTACTATAACTATAATCACTAAAATAAATCATTTAAACCCCAATATTTAAATAAAATTTATCCTAGTAAGAAAGTATTATGGAATAATTGTATCCTTTTATAAATATTTTATGAATCTATCAGTAATATAAATAACCTGAATAGTAATAATTAAAAATCAAAAACTAAATCTATGTATTCAAAAAGGGACAATAATACATCTTTCTTTGCCCTAGTAACATCACCCCCCCACCTTTTGTTTATTATGTCATTCATTATTTCAACACTTGAAAAAAAAACACTTATTTCTTATTTAACATAAACAATGCTTGATATTACACATGAGATTTGAGTTTCTATTACTGATAATGAGTTACAATTGATTGATTTTGGAACTTACTTATTTAAGTTAGTGAAAAGATAGAACATACCAACTTATGTAAGTAATAAATATTAAAATATATTGGTTAGTTAGTAGTTATTACATAACAGATACTTGAATTGATTTATCCGATATCATATTTTAAAACAATTAGTCCCTTTTATAAATTTCGACAAAGATTATCAGAACTATGTGATATATTAGCGTTATACATTTCGAACAATCTGATCACACATATACTTGTTAAGAGCATTTATATATAAAAACAAAAGGTCAACTAGACTGGAAACGGGGTAAGAGGAGATAAGGATAATCCTTGACCTTTTATTTTTATATATAAATGCTCTTAACAAGTATATGTGTGATCAGATTGTTCGAAATGTATAATGCTAATATATCACATAGTTCTGATAATCTTCGTCTTCTAATTACATTATCGACATCATATTGTCTATATTGTTTAACATTAACAAAACTACTTATAACAATAAAGTAATTTAGATGAAAATATCATTTAGATAACAATAAACCTGGTACACTATTTTATCACTACTATCAGCATAATTTCAAGCCTTTTTTTCTTTTATGAAAGAAAAAAACCGCTTGAAAGTTTACATCATCTAGTTGCAATTTAGTCTTTGAGATATTATAATAGTACTATATCAAAATTTATATATCTATACATGTAAACAACATTTCAATGTAATGTAACATGACATATATATATACGCTGCTATGAAAGTTTTCTTAAATAACAACTAATATGACTTACGAATTTATTGTTTGAAGCTTTTATGTAAACAGTAAAACAAACGATCTTTAATTGATCAGTTCATTTTCAAGTTGAATAGATTAACAAATACACATGGCTAATGACTATCCAATATAGAAAGTGAATATTAGCGTAAATTAATTTTATAATGTAATATACAAGATGTCAATTAAATCTATCTATCTACCTATATATATATATATATATATATATATATATATATATATATATATATATATATATATATCGTCTTATTTATTCAATTCCTATATGAAAACGTGGGCGAAAATTGAATTAAAACAAGAAGAACAAGAGGAAGAAGCAAAAAAAGAAGATGAGAAGGAGAAGAAACTTTGAATGGACAATTCAGTTTTTCATTTTAATTCATTTCGACAATTTAATATACACAATGATATGAACAAATAAAAATGAACGAGAAATAATGTTGTGTATCATCATTGTTCATTTATTATTATTATTATTATTATTTTCATTAAAATGATTATGTGATTGGTTATTTGATTATTGTATTCGTTTAATTATCCTATACACATAAATGTACAATATATTCCATGGAAGTTATTTCCACTTTTTTTAAATGAGGTAAAGTTTGATCATTTTGAGCAACTCAAGAATATGAAATCAAACATAATATGGTTAAAATTTCTTTAGGACATTTGTGGGTTAATGCATTCATTGTATAGAGAAATCAGTTAGAAAGAATGGTTAGACAGTTTGCGTTACACAACACTCAATTTTGTTAAGAAAAATATGGTACAATGATTATGTTTTTATATATATTTTGTTAGATGATTAACTGTTTAGAATTACAGAACATTGCGTAAGTGTCTTGTTATATTTTTGATTGAGATCATGAACCGATTGATGTTAGACCATCTTTGGAAACCTGGAAGACGTGGACGGCCGTTTCGTCCTATTGTGGGACTCCTCGCCAGTGCGCATCCACGATCCCATCCGCGGGACTCGAACCCAAGGCCTTCGGTCTCGCGCGCGAACGCTTAACCTACTTGACCACTGAGCCGGCATCCAGTGGTGATAGTGTCTCAATCAAAAACTTAATAATCTCTACAACCCCTGTACTAGTAATTAACATGTGCTCACTAGTGACTAGCTTTGTGAGGGAATTCGCGGAGTTTTATTGAGAAGCCGTGACCAGTGGAGCTAATCCATGTCAGGTAGAGACAGGTATCTACCTCAGTACAATCGAAGATGGTCGGCCGTCCAGGTTTCCAAAGGTGATCTAACATCAATCGGTTCATGATCTCAATCAAAAACTTAATAATCTCCACAACCCCTATACTAGTGTTTTGTTATAGTTTGGAAGAATTTAACAGTACATACGTATAATTTTCATTAGAGAATAGACGTGTAACATAGCAACTACATACTTGCTTAGAATTCGTATTTTATTAAAAGTTAAATAAATTGATAATAACTATTTTTAAGAGGTCTGGCTGTACCGCATTCAATATCTTAATAACTATTAACATGAGAGATTCAAGTTTAATGCATCATTTCATTTTGTAAAGGATGAGGTTATTAGGGCAACATAATTCAGGCCAAAAAATATTTAACGGGATAATTCGGTAGAATAAACTTAATCGTGGATAACTATCAGGGCCCTCTTAAGACTAGTGCGCGTCCCAAGATCAGTCAAAGTTAGAAGGTCGACAATGGGACTATGACCTCATCCCACAGAACTGAACTTTACAAAAATATGTAAGAAGATATATGTATCTATTCAATTGACAAGCAAATGCGTTTTATTTCTTGAACTTCATCTTTTCGCAAGTGGTAAAAGCTTTAAAAATGTTGATTATAAATGAATATCAATTAAGTGTTGATTAATTTGATAAATTTGGTTCTTTGTGATAACCTCATTGACTAAATGTACAATAATGAATTCGGTGATTGATTGGAAAGAAATATCTACAGGCCTTACTAATCACTAGCGATTTACTTAGAATCTGGTTAAAACGAGATTACAGTTGACTGATTCTGCTAGACAAGTTACTCTATCTTCTATCATCATTTTACTTGTCATTTTGTAACACGATTTCTATATAACCATACATTTTCTTGCATTTTTACTTACTTACGCCTGTTACTCACAATGGAGCATAGGCCACCAATCAGCATTCTCAAACCCACTCTGTCCTGGATCTTCTTTTCTACTTCTATCCAATTCTTGTTCATTTTTCTCATGTCTATTTCCATTTCCCGACGTAATGCGTTCTTTGGTCTTCCTCTTTTCCTTTGGCCTTGAGGATTCCATGTGAGGCCTTGCCTTGTGACGCATTTGGGTGCTTCCCTCAATGTGTGTCCTATTCATTTGCAGCGCTTCTTCCTGATTTCTTCCTCCACTGGGATCTGGTTTGTTCTCTCCCACAGTACGTTGTTACTAATAGTGTTCGGCCATCGGATCTGAAGTATTTTGTGGATACAACTCTTAATAAACACCTGTATTTTCTGGATGATGACTTTCGTAGTTCTCCAGGTTTCTGCCACATACAGTAGAACTGTCTTGACATTTGTATTGAAAATCCTGACTTTGATGTTGGTTGACAGTTGCTTTGAGTCCCAGATGTTCCTCAATTGTAAATATGCTGCTCTTGCTTTGCCGATCCGCCCCTTCACATCTGCATCAGATCCACCCTGTTCATCAATGATACTGCTCAGATACGTAAAGGTTTTTACATCTTCCAAATCTTCTCCGTCATTGGTGATGGATTGGTGCATGCTGTGTTGTATCGGAGAATCTTGGCATTTTTACATAACACATTCTAATTTCCTCTAATGATTTACCATCTCAATTCTAATAATAATTAAACTTTATTGATAAGATTGAACACTAAAATTACCTATTTCCAATGGTGAAATGAAACACTGTCATTTTTGAGAAATTGATCATTCTCCATTTACATTTAGAATTCAGAAAATAAGTTTGATAAAACAAATTCATTGTTTTGAATAAACTCAATAAATATTTACTACATATTCACTCAATCATATAAAAATAACATAACTGAGTAGTTATTAAATAAGTGAATAGCATCTGCGCTGAAATTTCCTTCAATCTATAAGCACGAATATCATTGCGTGACAATATTCACAGAAAAAAGAAAGATATTCAAAAACAGAAAAAGGGTAAACACTATAATAATATAAACACAGTGATACAGGTTATTGTACACTACTGGAAATATATTTTAGTGTTGGTTACTATGTTTTAGCCCATATAACTTATTCTAGCTTCTAAACAGGCCAATTTATCCATTCTTGTTAAGTCACGTTTTGACCTTTTTAATTATCACTTATCAATCTTGACTACATTAATGTGAGCGTTTGTGTGTACATATCTTATCGTACTCATCACATGTCTGTAACTTATTTTTGTATAAATATAAATATGGATCAACGTTTGATTAAAACGTGTTGGCTCATCCATCTTCTCCATTGAGCGTCATTTAGTTTTGCTTCTCTCTTTCATCTTCGCAATCTTCGCTCCGTTTCTCTGATTATTATTCTGTACAATGATTTTACAAAATATACATATTCAAAACTTCATCTCGTATTTGACTTATTTAATTCCTTTATTTACTAATGTGATTGAAGTCGATGATTATATACGAGGATTGACGATAGGTATACTTCGATAACGATCATTCGACAACTATAATTCATACGATCTACCTAGAGCCACAAAATTCTACATCTGTTTTGAACAAGAGGTTTGGATGTGATAAGATCTATATCGATTATTTCAGTTTAAAATAAACATATTATTACCATAGGACTATATGTTTGGTATACGGTGACGTGCTGTATAAGTTTTACTGAGTTTATCGATCTAACGAACAACTAAAAGGTTCACAATTACCACTTATTACGTATTTTTTTAAATCATGGAATATGGTGTTCAGTCATTCAACATACCTAATTTTGATAACAATGTAATTAACTCCAATCGGAAATTTGAACTAGACTAACAGTCATAAATGAACGACTACAGAACAGAATCTACATTATGACTGCATATTTATCACGACATTTGGTGAGACTATAATTTATGGACGACCTTTGAGCGATGCTACAGTGGCCTTGAGAATATCCACCTACTAACTAGGGCTCAATGAACGTTTTAACCAGTGTGAAGAATAATGATTGTGATTTATAGTTGATGGTGTCTTGACCTACTTTTATCAAGAGAACGCGATTGATTTAATAGAAACAATTATTATTATAACCAATTGTAACAGTGATTGTTTTACTGTGCTTGTTTGTTTGACTGTAATAAAGACATCCATTTTTTCCTCCATTCTTCTTTCGTTGACTGTGGCCTTGTACGCTCGCACTTTTCCCCATTGATTCCGCTTGTATTTCCTTTGGCACGATTTCGGTATACTTTCGACACCACGAGATCGCCAACGAATAAATCTTGTTACAACCTTCATTCGCCTTTTGGTTTTCTGGTACGCGCTCTTCTTGTAGTGGTGTTCTTAGTCGACCTCGACTCGACGCTGCACTACAATGGTTAAGGATATGGATTAGATTTAGGATTTTCATTACAAACCAACGTTATCAAGAACTGACACTATTAACCTAAATTTCGTGCCATAATCCAAAACCTGATATCATAAATTTGATTGGGATGTTTATAAATTATGATTTCGCCCGAAATGTTTAAAATATTTTAATCTGAAAAATTTGTTTTTTTTTAATCAAATGATGTATGTTTAAACATAGAAAATACCCGTCACTCTGTGGTCACAATTAAAGTTTATCATTTGAAAATTTGCTAAACTATTTTCTAATTGGTTTTAAAAATTAATCTTGTTTTTTATTTGGGTTAAAGTTTCGTCTTGTTTTTTCCCACGTTTAGTACCTAAAATTAACATTTTTTCATGAAAGTTGTCACTAAATCTGTCTATGATAGAGTTCATCTTTTTTATTATTTTTGTTTTATATTCACTGATGACGTAAGGTATTACAATGTAAAACCAATTGATTACTTTATTAAATATTCTGTCATTTATATTTCATTGTCAGTTACAGTACAACTTCTTTGAATATACAATACGGAAACATCGGCTCCATATATATACGACTTTGATTTTATTGTTGTATTACAAAACTATTAAATGTAAGATGAGTTTGTTTTCAAAAATCTAGTTAAATATAAGCAATGGTGGATAGTAGCTAGTAGTTAGATTCAGAAAGTGCATTTCGTTCTATTTGAGAGTCATCAGATGGATGTACCTGCATCTCAGAGTTGATGTTCTTTCCAGGACTTGAATCTAGTACCGCTCGTTTTAAACGCCATCACGTCTGGATTTCACTACTAGCCACTATCCATCTTTACTTATAAAGCTTGTGACTTAAGGTAATATCAAGGCAATCCGTACACGATGCTCATATGTCAACAAGAGACTGATCAATTGCAGTCCTAAACAACAATGAAAATGTTCAAGCAAAATGCACCAAGTGAATCCAGTGAAATATATATATACTTGTTGCTACAACTTCACAGCCTCAATATTACCAACAATGTTAGTAACATCCTATAATGTATGTTAGATTAGGTAAGCATAAACAATTTTAATAATTTCCATACCCGTGAACTCCAATATAACTATATCTCGTTCTGAGAAAAAGACATCAATCAGTAGAATTTTCTTCACCTGACTAATCAAATATTCAGACCTATGATAGATTTAAAGATGTTTTTGTAAAACATATCACTAAACAATGCAATCGGTGAAAAACAAGTTAGCTTAAAGAAATGTAAGGAAAGGGAACAGTACACTATATTTAGAGGAAAGTGTTCAGAGTCTCTACTGTCTCATGAAGGTGTACCACAAGGAGCTGTTCTTTCACCTCCTCTTTTCTCTTTTCTCTGCACGATCTGCCATCTTCCACGGAAAACACTTTTGTGAAATGTGCGGATGATCTCGCTGTATGTATGCCTATCTCTTCCTCTTTACATCCCATAGAAATGAATGAGTTTTTGTCTCGTATTGATTGTTGGTCTGTTGGTAATGGTCTCATACTTAATCCGTCTAAATGTCAAGCTGTGAACTTTAGCATGAGACATGAACGGCATCTAAACACCATTTTGAGACCCCATAATGCTCGTGCTATTGGAGACTTTGATAAAGACAGTGTCGAAGGTCAATTATCTTGGTGTTACCTTTTCCTCTGATCTCCTTGGTCTTCGCACGTTTTATTGTTATCAAAGAAAGTTTTCCATCTGACTTACTGCATAAAGAGATTGCATGCTCTTGGGATTACTCGTCATTTACTCTTATAATTTGTCAATTCTTGCATATTACCTATTATGCTTTACTGTTCTCCATTATTCTTTCCCGGGCTTTTGAGAAAAGACTTTGCTGTATTGCGGAGAGTGCTGAAGGCAGTTAGCAAGGTGTGTGGTGAATCTTTCGAGGTCATAATTATTAATATGGTTGTGAATAGACATCTAAAGTCATACAAACTCCTAGCAGGTGTTATTTTATCAGATACTAACCATCCCCTTCACTATTATCTTTCTCCTTGTATATCTTCTGGTAGAACGAGACGTAATTAAATTAAAATTCATGCACGCATGCAAAAGTATAAAATTTCTATAGTACCTTACCTAGCAAATATACTCTGTGACGAACAGGTTGTTAGAGTTAACCTAGTCGATAACCTGCATTCCTAATATGTCTCTAATTTGAAAAGTTGTACAGTTTTCCAGATTTTTTTAAACCCTTTTTTCCCTTTTTTTGTCTTTGTTTCTATTATTTTTTTGTGTAAGAAACTTGTTGAAATACCCTGTGCTGAGAATTCTATATTGTACCAAAATATGATATTGAATAAAACCATTAATAGTAATCATAAAAAATAATAAATGTAGTAAAAGCCATTCTAATGTTAAATAAATGGATGGCTTATAGATCTAATCACTCTGAATCCCTAGTTGATTTCTTTCTTTATCTGAACGCTTATATACACTATTCTATAAAAAATAAATATCCTTCGAAATAATCATTATGTGTGATATTACATTTGATCCATTTTATAAAATAATCATTACGCAACTTAGCAACTTCTTGATCACTTTGAATATTAATAATCCTCTTTCTTCCAATTAATCAATGTTAATTTAAATGTCATTATGTAATTATTACGTAACGTATCCACTCGATGAGTATTATATTATTATTGTAAAACGTATATATATTAGTGTAGAGTCATGATGAAAAACTAATTGAAAAGAAATTTCTTCGCTCAATTCGTTCCTTCTTTAATCACAGATATAATGAAAAATCAGACTCATTAACTACCTCATTGTTTTATTTTGTATAATCTCTACATTCTCATCTTGTATTATGACTATCGTTTGGTTACTTAACAATAAATTTCGATTGATTTATTGATTTTATAACATTAAATCCGACTAATTATATTACATAATATTTATGAGCATTCTAATGATTATTTTTACAAGTTATATATATATATATATATATATATATATATATATATTTCAATGGTTAAAATCATGAGTCAATTGAAGCTAGACCACCATGAAAAACCTGGAAGCACTGGACGGCCGTTTCGTCCCAGTATGGGACTCTTCATCAGTGCGCATTCACGACGTCGCTCACTGCGAGATTCGAATCTAGGACCTACTGGTTTCAAGCGCGAGCAATTAACCACTAGACCACTGAGCCGGCATCCAACGGTGTTAATGTCTAACTTCAACTAATCCACGAAATTGAGCGACCCATCCACCGTGATCTTAACCATTGGAATTACTATAA